TCTCGGCTGAAGAGCCGATAGCCGACTGCGAAGTCAGCCCAGTTCTCCAGGAAACCAAAACCTTCCTTCTGACACCAGCTCCGGAGCCACTTGTTAAGCTCCCTCAACTCGCGCTGTCTGTCCGGAGTGGCTCTTGGCACCGGCAGTATCTCTGAGAAAACTACCGTGGAGGTCCTTTCCTTCATCCTAGCACCTAGGTCTCTAAACTCCCTTTTTAGGACACTCCAGTTTCCTCCTATTTTGTCATTGGTGCCGATGTGCACCATGACAGCGGGGTCGTGCCCAACCCCATCTAGTAATCTGTCAATTCGTTCCGCAATGTGTCGAACACGAGCCCCCGGCAGGCAGCACACTGTTCGACGCTCACGGTTCCGATGACAGATTACCCTGTCAGTCCGCCTGATGATGGAGTCTCCCACCACCAGGATCTGCCTCTCCTGACCCTCCATCCTGGATGGATCGTTCTTGCCAGACCAACCTGCTGACCTTTTACGAAGAGGTAAGTAGAGACCTGGATGGGGGGGAGGCCGGTGGACGTAGTATTATCTGGACTTTCCCAAAGCATTTGATACGGTGCCACATAAATGCTTGTTATACAAGCTAAGGTATATGGGCATAGATGAATTAGTGTTCACGTGGATAGAAAACTGGCTAGAAAGAGTATCAAGTTAATGGAACCTTTTTAGACTGGGCGGAGGTAATGAGTGGCGTGCCCCAGGGTTCTGTGCTGGGTCCCATGCTTTTTAACCTATTTATTAATGATATCGGGGAGGGAGTGAGTAGCCATGTCTCATTTCATCCTAGCACCTAGGTCTCTAAACTCCCTTTTTAGGACACTCCAGTTTCCTCCTATTTTGTCATTGGTGCCGATGTGCACCATGACAGCGGGGTCGTGCCCAACCCCATCTAGTAATCTGTCAATTCGTTCCGCAATGTGTCGAACACGAGCCCCCGGCAGGCAGCACACTGTTCGACGCTCACGGTTCCGATGACAGATTACCCTGTCAGTCCGCCTGATGATGGAGTCTCCCACCACCAGGATCTGCCTCTCCTGACCCTCCATCCTGGATGGATCGTTCTTGCCAGACCAACCTGCTGACCTTTTACGAAGAGGTAAGTAGAGACCTGGATGGGGGGGAGGCCGGTGGACGTAGTATTATCTGGACTTTCCCAAAGCATTTGATACGGTGCCACATAAATGCTTGTTATACAAGCTAAGGTATATGGGCATAGATGAATTAGTGTTCACGTGGATAGAAAACTGGCTAGAAAGAGTATCAAGTTAATGGAACCTTTTTAGACTGGGCGGAGGTAATGAGTGGCGTGCCCCAGGGTTCTGTGCTGGGTCCCATGCTTTTTAACCTATTTATTAATGATATCGGGGAGGGAGTGAGTAGCCATGTCTCAGTGTTTGCTGATGATTCGAAAATTGGAAGGATAATAGACACGGATTTAGATGTTATAACATTACAGGAGGACCTGGATAAACTAGGGGAGTGGGCAACTGTATGGCAGATGAAGTTCAATGTCGATAAATGTAAGGTAATGCACCTTGGAGTTAAAAATAGGCAAATGGACTATACACTTATGGGGGGTGCCACTAGGGAAGTCGGAAACGGAGAAGGATTTGGGGGTCATTATAGACCGGAGATTGAAGAACAGCTCGCAGTGCCGGGCTGCTGTAAACAAAGCAAGCAGAGTCCTGTCTTGCATTAAGAAGGGAATGTATTGCAGAGACAAGTCTATAATTTTGCCACTTTACAGATCACTGGTTCGGCCACATCTGGAGTATGCGGTCCAGTTTTGGCCACCAGTACTCAGAAAAGATGTCCTTGAGCTGGAAAAAGTCCAGAGGAGGGCAACCAAACTCATTAAGGGCTTAGAGGATCTGAACTATGAAACAAGGTTGTTAAAATTAAATATGTTCTCTTTGGAGGTTAGGAGATTAAGGGGGGACATGATTTTCCTATATAAACTATTTAAGGGCGACAACATTATTAACAAACTGTTTACGGTTAGCTCCGTAACAAAGACCAGAGGGCACAACCAAAAATTGGTGGAAAAAAAATTTCAAGGGGTTCTTCACAGTTAGAGCGGTTAAAGTCTGGAACTCACTGCCGCAGGAAGTGATTTCAGCTAAGAGTGTGGAATCATTCAAGAAACTCCTGGACTCCTTGGAGACCATAACATACAGGGGTACAGGTACGCCTAAGATCAAAATCACACATGGACTAATACACACCCAGATAGCAAGGATAACTTGCTACAATAATTTGTGGCGGGGTGAAATTGTAATGTTGTTAACTTGCTGCACATATTCCTGGCAAGTTGTAGACTTGCAGAACACTGGCAGCACAAGTTCTAGTTGACACTTTTTGAATTTGTAGCAAATTTGCTTGGCAAGTCTACAGCGAGAGTCCTGCAGGTCTTAGCAAGAGCTCTGCAAGCTCACTGGTCTGGAGACTTGCAATGCAGACTTGCTGTAATTGTGCAACAAAATTGTGAAGCTTGGCAAGTCTGCAATAGTTTAGCAAGTCATTTTCAAACTTGCAGCACAATGTCTTGCTATCTGGGCATGCACACACCTGCTCAAACATAAATGCATACACACAATAGGTTGGACTTGATGGACTTATGTCTTTATTCAACCTCAAATACTATGTAACTATGTAAAACATGATAGTTCTTGCAGAAGAACTTCAAAGTGCTAAGACCCAAACACTGGTCCAGACAGAGCTGCAAGAAGGAGAGGATTTGTCCCACGGAGAAACTCCTAAGGTGGAAGACCTGAGATTTGCACCATCAAGTATACCTGCCATATCATACGTTAAACTGTACAAGAAATATCCATACTAGCATCTTAGGAAACACACATTTATGGATGCCACTTACTCAAAAAGGAAAATGTGGCTTTACTAACCATGCTGTTATAGCCATCGATCATAAGTAGCATAGTACAATGGCCCTTGGGACAGGAGATCCTGATAATCTGGCACAGCCCTCAGATTGTTTGGTAGAAGTCTTATCAGTACAGCGTACCAAATCTGCCTAGGCCAGTCCAAAGCAACGAGGATCACCAAAATGCACTCTATCTCAATCCTGCAAAAGAGATGAGGAAGAAAATGTAGGGGATAAAAGTGTAGAGCACTGCTGCTTCTTCTAGAG